CTTTGTCTCAATTATCGTACATTGAACTGTTCCCTTGGATGACTTTATTTAACCGTGATTTTATAATCAAGACAAATATCCTTTTTATAGGCAGAAAATGTTTCCGTCTTTTATGTTTCGTTAGATTCATTAGTTTCATTTTATTCCATGAGAATAATAAAGGTATCTTGTACATTAGAGTCATTTGGGTACAACATGTGTTGTAGCTGGAATGAGATAAAGTTTATGGCGAAATGTACTAATTCCTTTTGGTAATGATTTTGTTTCTGCTAAATTTAGCACAAACTGGTGTTTCGTAACAAAAATGCCACGTGTTTAAACATGAACGGACACAGACCCGACATGTGTTTTATCAATAAATGATTTTGATCGAACGAAAAAGAAGTATGCGTATGTATGACGAAGGAAAGATGAATTGCGTGAAAAATTCACATCAAATATCATCACTAAACATAATATTATTTGGTTATTTGACTTTTTTAATCATTTTTTTTTTTGCTTTAACTCCTACCTCGCTAAATATATTATATAGACGTTTACCTCTTTCAATCTGACCAAGACAATGTTAGGTAAAAATTACAAAATATTTATTAACTAAATATATAATACAGTGCAAACCATGATTAGACCGCAGTAAAAAAAAAAAAAAAAAAAAAAATAATTTTTTTTTTTTAAAAAAAAATTTTTTTAAAAAAAAATTTTTTTTTTATTAAAAAAAAAAATTTTTAAAAAAAAAAAAAAATTTTTTTTAATTTAAAAAAAAAAAAAAAAAAAATTTAAAATTTTAAATTAATTTTTTCTAAATTAAAAAAAAAAAAAAAAAAATTGCGATGGTGATCTTGCACTGCTCTCATTAGCAGGCTGAAGGTTGATAAACATTAACGTATTTGAGACAACCTTTTATACTGATATTCTAAAGATGTTCATAGTTTTGTTTGTTGTTGTTGTGTTTTTGTTTTGTTTTTTTCCTGATATTTTTTGTTTTGGTTTTTGTTTTCTTGTTTGTTTTTTTATTTGTCGGCACAACATAACAGTTTAGGTCATATAGCACCGGACAAGGAAAAATGATTTTGGCTTACCTCAGGTGTTACAAGCAATACAAGGAATCAAAACCACCTCACCTGCCAGTGCTAGGAGATACATTTACTCAAATAATTCAAACCATCTTACAATGACGAAGTGTTAAACGTAGGCTGCAATTATGATGTCTCAACCCGTAACACCTTCGCCACAAGGAAATAATACTATTGTAAATTAGTTCTAATGGAAACATGATCGTATTTTTAGTAGTAATTATATTTGTGTGAGTTCAACCTTATGGTAAAATTAAAGAATTATGATGATTCCCGACTGTATTAAATGTTATTAAATGGTTTTTTTTATGTTGTTGATGCTTAATTTTATGATGACACTCGTAAACAATCAAAATTTAAATCCGTACTGCTACTAAAATGATTAATTTCCTGCAATTGTAGTCGCATTAAAACATTTATGTTCATGTTGCGAGTAATAACTGTATAAATATGACAGATAAATGCATGTTTTATTGATATGCCTCCTTATGCGTTTTCAATAGCATGAAAAAAATGTTGTTAAGAAAGACTCATCAAACAGATAGAACAATACAATCTTTGCATGAATATACTGTTTTAAAACTATTTTTAACTCATTTCGTATTATAAAGTAATATTTTGAATCTTTAGTGTGTTTGGCTCCTATACAACAAATAAATGTTACGATACTGCGGGTTTTGTTTAGATTATAACGTATAATTAATAGATGGTCAACTTGTGCTATACAGCTGTTTTTATAATGAGACAAACGCAGGTGTAGACGACAATTTAACCCCTGTTAATTAAACTGTTTCTTTTTTATAAGACAGCTCTCGGCTGATACAATATTGCCATGTACATGTAATAATATATGGTTGTGTATGACACTGATCTTTATTATAGAATAAATATCAATCAATCGTTATATGCGATATTCTCTTATCAATTCTTATTTAACCGATCTGGGGGAATCTTTTTTTTTTCTTAGAATGTTTAAACTATTTAGTTACTTTATAAAATTAATAGTCTCCCATACGAAAAGACAATATACTGTTAGGCTTTCGTATGATTTAGTATGACCAGTTATATGATGAAGAATAATACTTTGTTATAGAAAATGTATTATCTGCTATATATGAATATGTAATATCGGATCTTGTATCTAGCATTCATTTATATCACCAATATATAATTCCTGTGTGGTTTGTGGTCACGTATGATACTAAATACTATCAACATGATTTTATGGTATTGAATACCTTCAATTAAGAACCAATTCACTTGAATAGATTTTTTTTCTTTGGTAATATACTAGGTGTTTACACGGTTTATGCTTTTCTGGCAATATTTCATGGCTTACTTTTGAAACAAAGGCAAAATGAATATGTTTCTACATACAAGAAAGTGAAAACGAAAACAAAGATGATTATCTAAACAACTAAGCAAACATCGCTTTACAAAATGTTTAATTATTGGGACAAAACTTGATACAATACAATACAATACAATACTCTTTATTATTAAGTCAGGTTATAAACATGGTAACAACATGACAATTTATCCAAAATGTGATTAATATATATATTATCTATTAAAGAAATCACAAACAAATAGAAATATAAATCGTGTAGCAATTTAGCACAACATGTTCAATCAATATAACTGTATTGCAGACGCTGTTTAGATTATTAATTTCAAATTGATTTTGTATACATTATTAAATTGGATAAATATCTATTAATATCACGATAAATATTTTTGTCCTTATATGCATGTTCAATTGTGGTTGTTTTACAATAATTTTAGAAGGCCACAATTGAAATAAGATATACATGTATATGATTGATGTTGTATATTCTTAATGTGTTTCCTTCTATGAATTAATTTTATTATTATTATTTCCTCCAATACACATGAATTATTGACATATGATGATTCACAAAATATTGACACGCGTGATTGTTATCAAACATTGGCATTGATGATTGAACGGCATATAACAAATAATGATATCTACCAAACATGGACATGGATTATTGACATGTGATATACAGCTTAACCTGTAGATGAATAATTAGAAATCATTTGAAAATTAAAAATGCTTGATGTTTCCAATTAGCATTTGTTGGCAAATGTATTAAAGTTATCAAGTTTCAAGTTTATATTGTTACCTCAAGGAAACAACAATACATCAAACATTACAAAACAAATTAAAGTGACATATAGTAAAGTGAACCATTGTAATGCTATGAACATATGTACATAAGACAAAATAATAGAAATAATACAATTGCAACTTTAAAATGGGAGAATGAGATCATTATTAAATTAAATATGAACACAAATATTATATATACAAGGTCAAGTTATCCCAAGTACCAGGGATGAAGTAACTCGAGAGGATGTGATCCTACAAAAACAGGACTTGCAGAAAAATTGACATGAAAAAGACATCATCGATGTAGCAACTGATGCGGACCGTCATTGACACGGATGTATATCGGGCATATGGTTGATTACGGTGCCAGAATAAATAAACATAAATTCCACACACTATATTTGTATTGTCTGATATGTTGAATTAAATCATGTAAAGCAATATTCTTACTACAAATGCTTTTGCAAACGTTCCACCAGACCCGAGCAAAGGCAACATGTTATGTGTGGGCGGATTGTACAGTGAACAACTTGTTTGACTTGCGAATCGCCATACATTAATTTCAAAATGTCAAAATTAAAGTGCCCATACAATGGACACTGTTGAAAAACATTTTAAGACCCGAAACCTATCGGAACATATTAAAAACATAAAAAAATGTTTTCGTGCCGAAAAAGAACGCTGTCAAATTGGGTTTGCTTTTACCAATCAAAACTATTGTAACAAGTTTCGCAAATATCCCATATTGCGAATGACTGTCCATATAAAAAATTGTTTCCAGACCATAATTATTTCTTTTGAGTACATATTTAATGTTTTATATATAGTTTGTCCATTTAAACAATTTTAACCCCCTTTTTTCTTTAACTTCACAATCGATTATTTTTAATGTACATAGGACCATTTATTTTTATAGAACAAAAATATAGTTTAAGTAATTAACTTCATTTGGCATGGACTAATGCAACGTTTGTCACGTAATACATATTTCCTAATTTAAAAAATGCATAACAACTCACTCAAATGATCACCAATTTGAAAGTTTTTATCAGTTTCGCTCGCTTGAACCCAGACACTTTGCGTCCTATTCAAAACTTTTAAACATATTGAAATTAAAAATCCATTAACTTAGCAAATATATCACATACCTGGACCAATCACAGCATGAGGCTTGTATTTATGGTACATCTCAGAGAATAAGGCTCCCCATTTAGACGCAACACAAGTTGGAACATCACACGGTGTAATAATATACTCTAAATTTGCAACATCCTTTAGCATATATTGTGTTTTATTAATTGCTATGTCAATTAAACCTTTTGTTCTGTTAATGGAAAATGGAAAATCCAAAATAGCCGATCTTTCTAGAAGAACGCCAATTGTTATATTTAAGCAATATGTTTTCGCAATTAATTGTACACAAAACACTGTGAAGTAAAGGAACCCCATGCTTAAATTGTTAAACGAAATCCATACGCAACAATTGTCAGTTATGTCACTGCTTACTTTTACCTAGCATTGTCTGACTTAGCTTTACAACTGTGGTATGATCATTGCGATGGTTTTATTGAATTTAGCAACAATTTAGATTGGTAATCATTTACATTTATTGGAAATGTCACACACAGATAAAAGTCGCTTCTTCTAGACAGATAAAGATTTATAACCAAATGAGATTCAGGTATAGCAATATAATGTCATCTCCTAGATGATGAAGTCAGATGGTGCTGTTATTAATTATGAACACAAAAAATTAATGGTAATAAAATTTATTAAAATTAATTAATTTATTTATTTCAATGCTAAGCGCAAATGGAGCAGAAATGGCATGAATATTTCTTTTAGACTTTAGCAGTTTGTTCATCGTCCATTTGCATCAATGTCAAACAATGAATATATGTATCATTTATACAGTATAAAAAATAATAGTTGTACATATGACATGCTAAAAGAAAATGGACCAGTTACATAATTCAGGCTAGGAATTTAATATAGATCTTCACATGATCAGTTTTCTAACTTGGATACATGGCATCAAACGTTATCGTACAAGTTATGAATAATTAATGATTTTTTTAGGTTTGATAAAACAATAATCTTACAATCAACAGACAGCGGAAATATAGATTTATACCCTTTAAGACTTTATAAACTAACAACACAAGTAAACAATTGCAATTTATTCTTTTACGAAATAAATCAGCTCTAATGTAACGAAATATATACCAGAAAGCACAAAAATCGTGAGTTCTCTGCTAGCCAACTATCTGGTTGATTTCTGTTTCCAATCTGAAACGTAAGTAAACCTATTTAATATTTTACATGAATGACACATTCACCAAACATATCCTTTTAAGTACAGAACCTAAAATAAAGAAAAAACGGAATCCCTAGAAACAGCCCAAAACTGAAAATGTTGCAGACTCGGTTTGATTGGGCCTCTTCATAAATGGTTTTGGAAAGTTATCATTCATAGTCCCCATCATCGGCTTCATTTAATCATGGTAATGGTGAAAACATCCGTAGATATGTTCATACAATACTTAAGACCCTATTTCAACTAACATTAAGTCAGGAACGTTGCATACACATTAAACGCTTAATGAACAAAGTCGACAACAAATTAAAATTTCATGTGCTTTTAACATTATGTAAAGGAAAAATAAAATATTGCATACACTAGTTTGTTTGAATATATGTCAAAAAGTAATGCTTATTACTCTTTTGCACTTATATGTATTATGAGTATTAAGTGTTGTATATAACAATCATATGATTTAATGTTCAATTTTTTATATTGATATAAATTATAGCTACAAAATTACAACAATATTTTGTTTCCAATAGCGAGGTAAGTCATGTAAATAATAGAATAAAACAGTGAACTGTTTGAAGGTAAAAAAACAAAATGTTTGGGTACAAAGCATCACCAATCAATGCAATATTTAATTATTCAAGTTTTAACCAGACCACATTATCATTTGTAAAAGGATACTATTCACCAGACAGTAACAAAATCATGTCCTAGAGTGCGGATAATTTCATTAAGCATTTTAACAAAACGAACTGGATTATGGTCTTTGGAGGTAACAGGTCATATACGACAACATATCTGCTACGACAACTGGTCGTATCCGACAACATATCTGATACGAAAACAGGTTTAATACGACAACAGATCTAGTATGAAAACAGGTCTTATACGACAACAAATCTGGTACGAAAACAGGTCTTATACGACCAACTGGTAAGTTAAACTTACTCAATCTCACAAATGAAGTAATGTTTCTCTTCACATGTCCCGTCATCCCATACACCATTCCAATACAAGGCAATACAGTCTTGTACAAAACTACTTGGGTCTCCAGGATTCCACTTGGTATACTGCAATTAATTATTGTCAATTGTTTCTGTTGAAAACATATGTAAAAATATAAACAAAACAATTCATTAGTGTGCGTGCGTGCGTGTGTGTGTGTGTGTGTGTGTGTGTTCGCGCGCGTGTTCGTTATATGTCTTTGAGCTATGTGATTTGCATTATGAAAAATACCGATATTTACGGTACTGATCCTGTGCAATTTTCATGTCATTTGCATACAGGAAGAGGTTCGAAATACTATGCTGAAATCACTGAGAACCATTTATTTTGTCGTCGTAATAAAATAAATTATTTGATATTACAATGTCTAAAAACATGCAATTTAAGATCCGTACGTAAACCGTAGTTTTGCAGATTATATAAGAACATTTTACCTTAACAGGCTTGACAGCAGGTACCCACAACCACTCGCCCTCAGTGACGGCATCTGTCCCTCCAATCCAATAGTAATTTGTCGTGTGATCTCTTCCCGCTAAAGTGATAAGTGTGTAATGTATTGCTTAGTATATTTTATACTGAACAGATGTTAAAAACAAAAAATTATTGTTTATTAATAGAAAGTAAAGGTTGAAATCTCGGACATTGTTGAACAATATATGTACCCACATTACTCAACAAAATGAAAGGAGGTGTTAAAGGCGTAATAGAATTAATAAAAGAGAATCTACTTTAGGTATTTTCAAATTTAACTACACCCTAGAATTTCACCTTGTCAAGAAAGATAAAGACATAAAGCATGTCACACCTCTTCAAGTCATTGCTTGTTCAATAGTTTTATTAAGTTTATACACTGTTATACGATGAACGTATTCTGTTAAATTCAATAAACGTAAACAAACCGTTTGCTGTTGTGTTTAGGAATATTGTTATAAAGTGCTGCTCTCCTTCAGATTCAATATAAGCCAGGTGTCCACCGAATGCCTCACAAAACACCTGAAATAATACTAACTCTAAGAAGGCTAGCAAACACAACAGTGAAGTCTGTCCGAAATGGACCGTTCAAATTAAAAACAGTCTGCATATTCTAGAACACAAAATTTAATAACGTTATTTTTTCTATAATCTCTAACACAAAAAAGGTTCAAGTACAAAACACAAATTATTGTTAAACGGTTATGGATAATCGTTGGTGTTACTACTATAGAACGAGTAGCCATGCCAATAGAAAAGAATTCAAATATCAAGATTTAGTTTAATTGTTTTGTTTTGTTGTTTTCCTTTCAATTTGGCATAGTTTACTCTCAGTGATATATCATTCAATAAATATTTCACCTGTGTGGACCAAGCTTATTGGCACAGCATCTGATTATTTGACAATTTGTTTTATATTGTGTTAATATCAAACAGGTCTTATATTACTAATATTATATCAACTACCAGGTATTATTGAATATCAATGAATCTGATAGCTTTATCTGTTATCATGCATAGTTATTTGTCACAATTAAAGTTGTATACCATGTAAATTAAGTCGATACAAATAAAACTGAAAACACATATTGATAAAATACAGACAAAAATAAGAAACAACCATTGAAAGAAATCTTAATTATAGCTAGGACACAAGTAAAAATTTGTTAGTGGGAGGTTGAGCAAAAGGAAGCGAACGAAACTCTCTATAGGTCTTCTACCTGAATTAGAAAATATCGTACAATTGCATTGTCTGAAGTAATTGCCCGCTACATTTGCACATAATATGGGATCTATATAGAGTAGTATGTGCAAAAATTTAAACAAAAGAAGGCGGGGCTTAGAAACAGGCGAAAATGTATGAATTTTAAAATCTTTATGATATAGAACTAATTTGTACTATCGATCAACAATTCGTTTACTAAAACTATTACAATTATGTTCTACATATATGGATAACTCACATAGGCGTCCGTCCAAGTTGCTTTTCGGTCTGTAATGACATAACAGGAATTGTCATGCCTCGTGTAACCATTTGGACAATGTGTAAATACTGGAGCGTCAGCGTGACGTTTTTCTAAAATATTGAAAATTCTTACTTAAGTTGATCATCTTTTAAAATAGTTACATAAGATAGTAACGATGTAAAATAATAAATGTAAAAATGCCTACTTTAAATTTGATTAATAGACGAAAAGAAATGGAATTATTTACAATTTTGCATCAGTGCATCAATAAGCATTCTGTTTCTAAAACCAACTAAGCAAGTGTCGACATGTATTGAGGTAAATGTGGTTTTTAGAACAATTCATGCAACTGCTACAAAAAAAACAACAACAACATTTTGAAATCAGAAAATGAAACGAATTAATAGTCAGTTATTTAATAAATTTATTTAAGTATCTATTAAGATAAAATTTACCTCTATCCAGTCCATGTCTCCTCAGAAAGTCACTTACATGATTCCTTTGCTCAGCATAAAGTTTTGATAACAAAGTAATAAAGCACAAAGTTCTAAATAATTTTGATATGACCATTTTGTTGCTTCTTTTGATTTGTAGTCTTTCGGTGAAGCTAGATTTTTAGTCATGAACTTGACAGACAGTGGTTAAAGTTTAACATTAAAAGATTAGTTATCAGCAAAACAGTTAACTAAATAAACAAAGGTGCAAAGAGATTTAAAAATTTATTTTACATCATTTAAATTGTACTATGACTTTCTGAATTGATATGACAAATGAAGTTTGTATGTCACAATTAAAGTTATTTTCAGGATTTTTTCTTTTTTCTCTCGTATCAAATGAGAAATTGAGACTCAATATGTAACACTTCACATTTCTGTTAGTTTGGTTAAAAGAGGATCAGTTGAAAGCATTTGGCTCGAAGTTGATAATTGTCTAAGCTTTTTGTAAAAATCATTTTTATATGAATAAATTTCTTAAAAATGATGACTTTCTATATAATTCAATACAGTACTTTAGTACTATGTCTTAGTTTATCTGATACACGTTCAGAAAAAAATACCGTTATAGCTTTTGTACAACGAACAAGGCCTTGAGTATTGTAAGCATTAAAAATCACACGCATACACACCATGTTAGTCCACGATATCGTTCTCTCTACAACTCGGATCAAAACACTTAAAGCACTGGCTAAATTTAAAATGAATCAGGCCATATTAAAGAGTATTTAGGCATGAAATTTACTAGTAAATTATTTTTATGTGTGTCTAGTGCATAAAATTAAAATTTAACAAAAAAAATCCATGTCCTTTTCTACATAAATCTGTAGTTTTATTCTTATCATTTTATACACATACTTGCATATTTATCCGCATTAAATGTTTGTTGATAAGCAAATTACTACGTTTTGGATTTAGATATTTAAAACTATAGTTCATTAATACCTATTTCATGCAACTAGCACATGGTATACTTTCTAAAGAGGGTCGAAAAAGAGTAACAATCTGGCTCGACATGAGTGTGTTTGGAACGTGTATGCAAGATACTATCAAGATAGCTTACGAAACGTCACTCATTGTACGCAGATGCCGTTTGTGCCTGAAACAATTTTGCAAAGAACCGCACCTGAGATCTTTTTCCACCAGTAAAGCTGAAGAGTCGCCATCATGACCTACACTGTTTTTGTGCGACGTACCCCCCTCCCGCCGAAAAAAAAAGACAATTAAATGAGACATGCTTTTAAATTTTCTTTTATAGGTGTAATTACATTGTGCTCGTTATAGTATAGATATCACTTATGCATAATATTAGTCTTCATCCAATTCTTAAAAATATCGAAATTGAAACTTTTCAATAAACATCAAAACAAACTTGTTTTAATTTCTTTCACTCAATTAACAGATATTTTTACTATTGGTTGAATATAAGTATAAATATAGGTTGAATATAGGTATAAATATAGGTATAAATAAACATACATTATTTTAAAAATTTAAAAATTTGTCTAGAAAATGTGTGTTTCGCTGGCGTTTAACTTTTCAAGACATCAAAATTGCTACAATCAAGTTTTCTTCGTTATACTCAAGTTCTATAAACACGATAGGTTAGAGTGTTAAGAAAATAGTTACTCCGTTGCCCCCCAAAAAAATCTCCGTTGCGTATTTTAGTCATACCCGATGAATTTAGGGTAACTTATGTATATATCTGGAAAAACTAATTTTTATTTTTGCATCAAAAGCTAATGTGAAAAATGAATTTTCTAGCGTATTTGTTGTTTAAGGGTTGGTTATAAAGTAAATTATTGTTAATTTAGTTATAATATTGTGATTTGTGTGGAAATTTGTTTACATTTTTTTTGGACACCAAATTGCCTGTCAGACCTCAGTGGAGCTCCTTTAATATGCCTAATCAACGTAATTATTATTCGCTTTACAGAAATTTTATTATAGACAAATTCATTTAATTTAAAGCAGCGATTTTGTGTCGTTTCCATCACCTACTGTTAAAATTGATAAATAGAGGATACAACGCTAACTGTCGGAATTGGGTGTATCAATTTATCACCGATACACGCTGTAAGTATTTAACTTTTCCAAACCAATGTACCAGTCAACACCAGTCTATTTGTGATGCAAGCTGTACGAGACTGACAGTGGCTGCGAATTATGCCACAGATGAAAGGAATTATCAAATATAGGTTGTCTAGTTAGCTAGCAGATGGATGTTTAATGGTTCTACTCCGGGACAACATCTAGCCTGAAACGTTGCACTTAGACGCACATCTTCATGTACCAAACGGACCTATAGTGTCGCCATATGACTTAAAAAACAACAAATTAATTGTAATATGTTGAGTTTCAACAGTTTGTTTAGATAAAATAAATATTTACATTTCGAGATAATTATCGCCGGCCCTTGTCTATAACATACATTGCACATAGGGAAACATCTGCAAAAAAAGCTGGAGAGTTGCCATGATGTGGAATAAGAGCTGTGACTCCTGGAGCAATAAAGGACTTGGCAGACACTGTGAAAGTTGATCAAGACTGGTATCGATTCTTCGAGAGTCCCGGTGCTGATATACGCGCAAGAAGCAGACGTGTTTGGGGCTGCTTTTTACACCTCTGTGCCGGCAGATTTGTAAGATTGGAAGTTGTTTCAGTGTGGAGAGAGATAGACACGGTGTATTGTGAAAGATAATGAGTCATAGTTATGTTCATAAGACGGTTCGAAAACCTGTCAAATCAAATAATATGTCGATATAATTATTGCTATTTCCTTTTTGTAAGATGGGCTAGACTTTTGCTTGGACGAGGAAATTCTCATGGCTTTGTTAATTGTAGTTTGACTTGCAAGCTACTTTATGACTCTTCGGTGGTTTTACTTAAATATCTACACTTGTTAGAAACAATACATATAACGGCAATTTTTCATTTACCAATGTAGTTTGAATGTCGCCATATGTCTTAAAAAGAAATATAATTTGTAACTAGTTAAATTTTAAAAAGATTGGTTTAAAGTAAATGTTCACATTTTGCGATTTGAATGTTGTTCTGTTAACCCTAGTGACCTTTCAGTAAACCCTTGAACAATGAATGCTAGATTGGTGTCCAACGTTGTGACGGTGGTCATTGGTGGATAATGTCGAAATGTGGATGGTTGTGTAACATTCGTGAAAAGTTTGTCTTGGGAAGTTGCATGATGGAGCATTGGTAAATTGTGTATTATGTAAATGGCATTGTTATTCTTGAGACAGGCCAGCATCGAAGGAGAAATAAAGTTTGTTCTTTTATTGAATATTTCATTAAGTTAATATATATTTGAAAGGTTTATTCAATAAATAAGTAATAATTTCAATAAGGTATATTTTACAGATGATAGGAATTATCAAATATAGGTTGTCTAGTTAGCTAGGAAATGGAAATTTAATGGTTCTACTCCGGTGCAACCCCTTGCCTGAAATATTGCACTTAGGCGCACATCTAAAGAGCTGGAATTTCCCCATATGAAATAAATTGTAATATGGTGGGTTTAAAAGGTTTTAGATAACATGGTTTAAGTAAATATTTACATATTGATATAATTGCCACCGGCCTTTCTCTATATTATTGCATTTAGGGACACATTTGCAAATAATGTTGGAGAGTTCCCATGTTGCATAAGAGCTGTGACTACTGGAGCAATGAAGGACTTTGCAGACTCCATGAACTGGATCAAGACTGGTACCGATTCTTCCAGAGTCCCGGTGTGTTGGACTTTATTCCGTTCTGATGTCCTGGCCACGTGTTTCACTGTGGATTGTTACTTTAAATGTTAAAATGTTGTACTATTGTTGTCGTTATAACCTGTTGTCTAATAGTTGTTAAAATATGTATTTCCAATGTATTAACATTCATATTTAAAATACAATTTCTCCCAAATAAAATACTGTATGCCCCTTTTTTCTATTTGCTGTTTTCCGATTGTCAAATATGTGTCATAATACATGTATCAGTTGCGATTTCCTGGTCAAGCGGGCCGTTAAATTCTAAACATATTGTGCTGTAATTAAAATCTGTTAATATTTGTTTTAAAAAGGAATTTCCAATGTTACTAACCTGTATATTCCAATTACTTCCATCCAATAAATTACTGTATGTGTCATTTAATTCTATTACAATTCTGGTTTCAAATTGTCCAACCTGTGTCATAATATTTTCCGTTGCGATGTCCTGGCTACGCGTTGTCGGTTATTTTTCGCTAGAATGTAAACATATGGTACTTGTATGTTATAATATTTGTTAAATTGTATTTCTAATGTTACTAATTTGTATGTCTCGGTCAAGTTTCTCTCATCCACGTAAAATATTATTAGTGTCCTGTATTTCTTTTAATATTGCGGTTGTCAAATATGTGTCCTAATATTTTCCGTTCCGATGTTCTGACTATGCGGGACGTCATGTATTTTTGCTCTAAATGTAAACGTATTGTACGTGTGTCGTAATTATTTTCTATGGTCTAATATTTGTTAAAACGCATTTCTAATGTTACTAAATTTTATGTTTAAATCAACATAACTTCCATCAAAAAAAATTATTTGTGTCCCCTATTTCTATTTTGTTGCTTTCCAGTTGTTAAATATATGTCATTAAAATTTCATTTGCGATGTCCTGGCCACGCGGGAAGTCGGTTATTTTTCGCTTAAATGTAAACATATTGTACTTTTGTTGTTGTCTAATATGTATTCAAAATGTATTTCTAACATGTATTATAATTAAATTACAATTACTCCCATCCAAAAAAAATACTGTGTGCCTTTTATTTCTATTTTGCTATATTCCAGTTGTCAAATAAGTGTCATAATAATTTTAGTTGCGATGTTCTGGCTACGCGGGTAGTCGATTAATCTTTCGCTTAAAATGTAAACATTTTGTATTTGTGTTGTAATTAGAATATGTTGTTTAATATTTGATTAAAAAGATATTTCCAGTGTTACTAACATGTATATATAAATTACAATTATGTCCTTCCAAACAATATTGTATGGTTCCCCTTTAATTCTATTAGAATTCTTTAGATGTGTCATGATATTTTCCGTTGCGATGTCCTGGCTACGCGGGTCGTCGGTTATTTTTCGCTTAATTGTAAACATATGGTACTTTTAATTAAAATATGCTGTCTAATATTTGTCGAAATGTATTTA